CAATGATAGGATCCCAAGTCGATATAGCATTCACTTTTGCTCCGAGCGGGAAACCGAGGTACTTTGATGGCTCATTACTCCAGTTGCACCCGAAAATAGACGCAAAGAACTCCGGAATCGGCACATCCCCAACAGTGATCATCACCGACTTCTCAAGGTTAATCCTAAGACCAGTGATCGAATGAAAATACACTAAGGTTGCCGCCACATTCAGCACCTGCTCGTACGACGCGTCGCAAAAAATCAACGTATCATCTGCAAATAACAAATGTGTGACCTCACCTCTGTCGTTAACCTCATCCATACAGAAACCGTTGATTTTCCCCGCCTCCTGAACCTTATTAAGCAAAAACGAGAGGATGTCCATAATAAGGGTGAATAATCCTGGCGACAATGAATCCCCCTGCCTAAGACCCTTCTCCGGCTTGAAATATCCTTTTGATTCACCATTAATGAGAGTAGACACAACCGGGGAACACATGGTTCCTCGAATCCATTTCTGCCAAAGCTGTGAGAACCCCAATGCTGACAACACCTGAAACAAACAGTCCCAACTTACATTATCGAAGGCCTTCTCGATGTCCAATTTAAACATGAGCCCCGGTTTGCGGCTTTTCTTGCGGCTATCAAGTAACTCAAACGCGATCAGCCCTGCCTCCGATATCTGCCTGCCTTTAACTGAAGCGTGCTGGTTCTTAGACACAAGATCAGGAAGAAACTTGCTAAGCCTGCGAGACAAGATCTTACTGATAATTTTATTTAAACTGGCCATCAAACTGATCGGGCGAAGATCCTTGATATCATCCACAGTATCACGCTTCGGCAAGAGACACAAGAAAGAACGGGTGGCGCATTCCGGTAAATAACCTGTTAGGTGGAATTCGTTGATAGCCTCAACCAAATCCTTCTTTATAATACCCCACCCTTTTTTGTAGAATTCCCATGTGAACCCATCCGGTCCTGGGGCCTTACCCCATCACAGTCTGCTAAGCATTCCCAAATTTTGGAAAAAATTTCGCTTTCCGTGAATGACTGAGTGAGGAAGGAGTTATCCCCCTCATTGAGCTGGTGTGACGCATAGTTCTTTGGAAAAGGGAGCCTATTAATTTGATCTTTGAACAAGTTCGTATAATACCCTACAACACCTCTGCTTAGGTCCTCTCTTCCTTCAATCCGAGCCCCATTAATATTGATGCAGTCAATCAGATTTAATTTCCGCTTGTAGTTGGCTACTCGATGGAAGAAATTGGTATTGTTATCCCCTCCCTTTAACCACAATTCTTTGGACATCTGTCTCCATTGAATTTCTTGATAGAACAGCAACCTACTGATCTCAATTCTAGTATCTTCTCTAGCTATTAGTTCTGCTTCATCAAGCACCCGTGTTTCCTCGAACCCATCCAACTCCTTAATTCTGCCGAACGCATTTTCCACTTGAGTGTTAATATTTCCAAACACATTATTATTCCAATCCTTCATTTTCTTCTTCAACTCCTAAAGCCTCTTAACCCGCCTAAAGGCCTTCCCCTGGCCTTGCACAGGGCACGACCACCATTCAACAAGGCCATCAAAAAACCTTCCATCTTCCAGCCACATGTTTTGGAATCTCCATGGTCTTTTTATCCTGTCCGATCCGCCCCATTTGACAAATAGTGGGCTGTGATCCGACTCAACGCGCTCCATCGCTGTCAACGTGCAATCTGGGAACAGATTATCGAAAGCCGAGTTCAAAAAGACCCTATCAATGCGCGAAACTGAAGCAGAGCCATCACCTTTACTCCAAGTGAAATTGCTCCCTCCCAAAGGAAGCTCCAGCAGGAAATTATTATCTATAAACTCATTGAAGCTGTCCATAAGACCTGTATTGCGTCTTCCACCTCTGTAGTCCTCGTGGCATCGCACCAAGTTAAAATCCCCGGCAATACACAGGGGCCGATCTGCCGATTGGCAGAGCTGATTCAACTCACGAATGAAATCAAGCTTCATTTCCCGACTCTGAGGCCCATAAACCACACAAAGACTCCATATATGCTGCGACACAACCTCCTGGAAATCTATAACCAAATGAAACGCCCCTGTTCTATAGGAGAGGGATCTCACCACATTTTTGTCCCAGAAAAGGGCAATGCCTCCCGAACTGTTCACAGCATCTTTGACTGCCCAACCGCTGTCTATAATGCCGCTTATACTAGCAATTAACTCGGCTGAGCATTGATCCCATTTCGTTTCTACCAGGCCAACAATCTTCGACCTCCTTCTTCCCAAACATCTTTTGATCCTGGCTCTCTTGCTGAAATCTCCCAAACCCCTAACATTCCAAACAATGAAAGAGCTCTCCATTAGATAATTGAAACAGAACCCTCCTCACCTCTGCTCCTACTCCTTCGGGATCCAGATACTTGAACTGATATAGGTCCCAATCTGTGTTTTTCCATCTCAAGTTTGGATCTGGGTTGTCGAACCTTCCTTTGATGCATATCTCTTGCATTATTCTCAATCAGTTCTTCCACCACCGCTTGCCCCCCTTCCATTTCGAACTCGAACAGCTTACCGATATCACGACAGGTGGACACGAGAGTTGAATCGTCAAAGGGATAAGCCTCTGGATATTGACTCTGCTCCTGGCTGTCTGGCACACAAGAGGGGGATGGGAGCTCCACCAAGTCTTGAGAAAAAGAGCTGGAAACGAATTCGAGTTCTGCGGCAGAGTTTTGGGTTTGCACTGGAGTAGAATGGGGAGGACTTGGGCGAACATACTCGCTGCCCCAGGTGGAACCCTTCATCGGCGATTCATCGGAATCCGGTAACATGGTGATTTCAGGAAGTGGGCGCCTTTGAATCGGGAGGAAATTCTCAAGAAATGATTGAGCCATCCCTGTGGAGGCGGACACCAACAGCCAACGAAACGGACTCTCCGACAGCTGTGGGGCTGGATCATAACATAGTTTCCTTCCACGTCGCAATATCTAATATGAATTTCTTAAGAGTCTTTAGATAATTGAAAAGAATAAATAATTCCAATTTATGAAAAACTACATATTATGAACTTATTTGAAATTTCAACAGATATGGTGTCAGTAGAGATAATTTTTCGTCTTAAATTCCACATTATCATGAATTTTGAAGATACGGATTTATGTTTTTCTCTTACTCGCATTAATATTAAATACTTGAAATTATTTATTAGGAATAGAAAAACATTAATCTTAACTAAGATTAATTATAAGAAATACAAAAAAATATTACTTTTTTTATTTGAAATTCATGATGGGGTGGTTTCATAAAAAGAAAAAAAAAATAGCAGAGCAAGAATGAAAGCATTATTCTGCTGCTATAATTATTTCACACCTCACTCTTGTTTTTGCTTTCTTCTCATTTCTTATCTCTCAATAATCAAGAAAAGTGGCAGTGATGATCTTCCAGCGATTGGCAAGAGACGTCGTTCCTACTACATCGTCTTCTAGCAAAGGAGAATGTAATTTCCATTCACTTATCAACATCTTGTGTTTCTCCATTAGCGCAATTGTCGTAATTTCTAGAAATTTTTTGGTATTCAATGGGGACAAGAAAACCATTTAACCAATACTAAAAGTAAAAAAAAAGTTTTTTAAATACCATCTATGTTAGTTGTTTTTTGATTCTGATAATCGTGTAAACAAATTATCATGGGTTTAGAGTGTGATGATAAAGATGAAAATATGTTTAAGGTGAATGTAAAGGTAGTTTCTTGTGAAACACATGTAGTAGGAAGATGAAGGAATGTGATCCAAGGTAATTGTGGTAATTGATTATCATTTTTCTCTTTTTTTCTCTCACTCGACTTACTTGCTAATCAATAGTGAATTTTTCCCTCAGTTGGAAGGGAAAGAGAAATACTTTAATGCGTGAATGGACATGATGCTTACAATACATACAATGAATGCATACTATAGTTTACTTAGTAACCTATAGCTAACAGAGACTATATTTGTTCTTATATGATTTAAGAACTGATATGTCACATGCATCATGATGTGATTTTATGATAGACAAACTTATTGGTAGTTAGTAACATGTACAACACAATTGCAAAAGTTGATGTGATACATTTTGTTGTGTTTTTTACATTCAGTTTCAAATAAGTTTATGATATGTAGTTTTTCAAAAATAAGTTTTTTTACTTTTCAATTATCTTGTTCTTTCTTTTTTCCTCGGTCATTCCATTCGTAAGATAAAAACATAAATCTGTATCATTGATTAAATTAATTTTTTTTTTGTATTAATTGAAATAACTCCCTCCCCTATGGTATTTCCTATGAACTTATGAATTTTTAAGATGCGTTTTGTGTTGATTTCCAATCTTTCATTGTTTTTTTATTTTCCATCTTTGGTTATATACTATATAATATAATGTGTATATTGTCCTTTTTTGTATAAATGACCTACTTGACACTATAAAATTTTGTGTGGATATTCATAAACGCGGACTTTAAGATATGGTGGTTAAATAGAGATCATGTAATATATTCACTGGTCCAAATTTGATTGTTATTAAATAAATGGAAGATTCTTATTGTGTCATCCATTTATTTTTTGTGATGTTGTATTTATTTTCTGTTTAATTTCTTTTCTAGCGCTCTATGGGTTATCTTTCCATTTTTTGTGGGCCGATGGCTGCAGGGTCATGAGAAGTTGTAATATTTTGGAAATGAGCCTTAATCCGTTGAGCATGTTATGGAAAGTTCTCATTGAGCTATTATGTGGGCCGAACTTAGAGCCTAGCTAATGAACCATCTCTAGCTAATTCCGACAACTATGGTACGATCTACATCGAATTCTAAAGGCGGATCTTATTCGCTATTCATGGTAGGTGATATTCTCTTACTACGTCCTGCATCGAGATCGTGGAGTCAATGTCTTTCTGCAAAGAAACAACGGGGAAAAGTCATTAGTTCGAAAGGTCAACTCTATTAACATCAGTTCTTATTCCGCCTCAAGTCTCCACTGAACGAAGAGTATCATCATACCTTGGTCACAAGCGTTACATCCAAGGAACATCTCCCGAAAGGCACGACATTGATGGCCAACACAGTCAGGTGAAGTTTCTCTACTTCCCTAACAACTCTGGCTAGCAGACCGTGATGTTTCTCGCAGTGAATCCTGATCGGCGAGTTCTCATCTAAGCCTCTCGCTTCCACTTCCGGGATCAAATTATCATCACCAATCCGACTCACGAACTCCTCATCAATCTCCACCTGGGACTTCTTCACGAAGATGATGGACTCCACCAACGTCCTCTTGGCTTTCTCGTGCAGCTCGTTCACCCTCTCCTGAAGCTGCTTGATGTACTTGAGTGGGTCTGGTGGCCCGACCAGAGGCTGAGTGGGTCTGGTGGGTCGACTCGGATGCGGTCTTCACCGACATGGGGTTTCGAATCCCGTTCGAGAAGTACAAGGGCTACAACTTGGTGGTGAACGGGTGGAATGAGCTGGTCTATGGAGAGAAGAAGAAGAGCTGGACCGGGTTGAACGCCGGAGTGCTCTTGATTCGAAACTGCGAGTGGTCGATGGAGCTGATTGACGAGTTGGTGAAGATGGGTCCGCAATCCGCGGAGTATGCGGATTGGGGGAAACGGCAGAAGGAGGTTTTGAAGGACAAGTTGTTTCTCGAAGCCGATGACTAGTCCGGCCTCATTTACTTGCTAATCAACAACGGCACCGGCGCCGGCAAAGGGCGAGAGTTCAGGGAGAAAGTCTACCTGGAAGACGAGTACGATTTCCTGCGGTACTGGTTAGACCGGGCGGGTTCGTTCGAGAATGTGACTCGGGACTACGACGACGTAATGGAGGGGAAGGATGGCGGCGTTTTAAGGCGGAGGCACGCTGAGGGAGTGAGCGAGTTCTACGGCGGGATGCTAGAAGAGCGGATCAAGGAGTGGGATTGTAAGAAGAGGAGGTCGCTGATCACGCATTTTACAGGGTGCGAGCCGTGTTCCGGCGAGCACAATCCGATGTACAGCTGGGGAGATTGCTACGATGGGATGGTGAAGGCTTTGAATTTTGGTGATAATCAGGTTTTGAGGAATTACGGGTTCGTTCGTCGGGATTTGTTGGATTCTTCTCTGGTTTCTCTCTGATCTGACTTGGGAAGTTGTGACTGTTTTTTGGTAATGACTATTCTTGGTTGAAATTTAAGTAAATTCTCACAATTATGATCAAGAATACGTTGAATCATGATGATTGGCGATTTAAGATATGGATCTTAGTTGATATTCGTGATAAGTGTTATTCTTTGGTAATATTGCATGAGAAGTTAATGATATTGGTTTGGATTAAATGGACGAAAATAAAATTTTTGTTTTTGTTTTTGTGATGCCAGGAGTACATTATATGTTAGGGAGTTTTAATTGTTTATAGTAGGTAAATTTTGAATTTTTTCCCACTTGTTTAATTATGATTATGGATCTATAAAGGATTGGAGGCAGAAAATAATTAATTATAAGTTGGCAGCTTTAACTTTGCATCTTCTCTTTAGGGGGCAACTTTAATCTTGATTAACATTTTGTCTCATGCTGGCAGCATCTTTTGTTGAAAAACCGTCTTTTCTACCTCCATTGGTTATCTTTCCATTTTTTCGGGCCGACGGCTGCATGCTCAGGAGAAGTTGTAGTATTTTGGAAATGGGCCTTAATCAGTTGTGCATGTTATGGGAAGTTCTCATTGAGCTAGTATGTGGGCCGAACTTAAAGCCTAGCTAATGAACCATCTTGAGCGATTAGACTACTATTTCAAGGAAACTTATTTGATAAGAGGGGTTAAATGTTAATCACTATTATGATAGTAAAAGTTCTAATATGAAAATGAAAATGCAATTTGTGAAAAAAAAAATATTATTTTCACAATATATCAATCCTATAAAAGAATTTTCTTAACACAAACAAACTGCCTAAATAGAAAGCGCTTTAATATTTATTAAGATTAAGATTAAGATTAAGATATATATGAAAATTGATTTAATTATCGTGTTATATATGTTTAGTACGTAAAGTATATAGTAAAAATTACACTATGATACCATTTGAACGAAAAATTTGAACAAAGAACTCGAGGAAGAGCTGCAAAAGTTTTTTTTTATGGTGAATTAGAGGCGTAATTTACTAGTCAAAAGGAAGAAGAACTCGAAGCTAGTTGAGGAGAGAAATTGCAAACCCCGATCCACGTCAACATTTATTTATGGGCTTAATTACACTGATTGACAATTACATTTAAACAACAATACGTAACCGGTCAAACTTCCACAATTCCATCAGGTGCTAACCCATTCAAATCTCGCAAACCTCCACAATACATTACAAGATAAAAAATGGACATAGAGAACAACGGATAGAAACCTGAACAATAGAGTCAACCTCCCTGACACTACAAATTTAATGAGCATAGGAGTCAAATATTAGAGACAACAATTTTATTTCGTTTATGAAATTAGAAGTTTAAGTGATTTTAGGAACGATCAATTAAAATCGTCTCCACAAATTCGGGAATAGATCTTTAATAGGTAAGGGTTTTCTTAATTCGTAGCCAATGAAACTTTTATCTTTATTTTCCTTCTTCTAATATTTAATTGGTTTCCCTTTCCTTTGCTGAAAAAGAATAGTTCCATGTCTTCCATCATCACAAAGCATTAATTAGTAACCGGCTTATACGAAAAAATAGTGTTTTCCGTCCCATGGCCATAGTCATTATATCTTTAAAAAAAAACAAAAAAACATAGCCATTATCCTTATTTGTTTAGCTTCTGTTTTCCTATTTTATTTATGAATTAAGAATTGTAATATTCACAATTGCCTATAAAAATGACTTCCCTCTATTGTTTTGGAAGAATAAGAGGAATAGAAGACAATATCCCGTAATTTCCAAGGTACTTTTGGATTTTATATTTTGTCATTTTTCTATTATGTAGGTTTGAAATGATTTATTATGTTTTGATACCGCTATTTGTTAAATACGTTTATACGTTTTTAGTGTTTTGCACTTCTTTCTACGTGAATTGCGCACTTATAATTCTTGTTATAGTTTGCAGAATATGAATCCGAATAAGGACTGGATGAGTATAACAAATAGAAGAGCACCCGAATTCATCGACTGCGTCAATAAAATGTCAAGTTGGCGTTTTCCATTCTTCCAATCAACAAGTCATTTGTTGCCCCTGCACAAAATGCGAAAACGTTGCATACAAGAATCTTTCAGAAGTGAAGTTTCATTTGCTACAAAATGGGATCTTAAGACATTACACAACCTCGTACTCGCATGGAGAAATTGCTAGTAATAATAAGGGGTCATCCACTAGTGAAGAAATTATTAAAGATACTAACTTTGGTGATACAACTGATGATATGGATGGATTGATACATGACGTGTATGGCATGGGAAGCGACGAACAAGATTTTAGGGTTGATGAAGAAGAGCCTAATAAAGACGTTGTTGCCTTCTATCACCTGATCAAAGAGGCTAATAAGAAAATGCATTCAAATTGCGAGCACACTAACCTAACCACGATTGTGAAATTGCTCCATCTCAAAAGTCTTGACAAGTGGACTAATAAGTCATTCGGCGACTTACTTAGCATTATGAGGGAACTGATTCCAAATGATAAGGATAATTTTCCTGAATCTTTCAATAGTGCGAAAAAGAACATTGTTGGTTTGGGTCTTGGTTATGAGAAGTATGACGTTTGTGAGAACAGTTGCACTTTGTAGTTTGTATTGTGGTCCTCACAAAGATGCAAGATCTTACCTAGTATGTATTGCCTCGATATGCTTGTTTCGATAGACATGGAAGGGAAAATCGCTTAAGGTGTTATGATATTTTCCCTTGACGCCAAGACTACAGAGGTTATTTATGCCAAGTAAAGCGGCTTCCCAAATGAGATGACACAAAGAAGGGTGAATTGATGATGGAATAATAAGACATCATGTGATACTCCTGCTAGGAAGTCATTAGATGAGAAATTCCTTTTGAAATGACACGGTCATCTTGGAAATGTTGATCGTGAGGAAGATGGAGAGGATTATCAACTCGTGTGTGAAGAGGAAGATAACATTAACGATTATGAAGATATCGCTGACTAAGTTTTTTTATGATATGAGATTTTCTAGTTTGTGTTTTTTTTTTTACTATTATAGGACATATAATTTATGGTATTGAAGATTATTAAATGTACTATTATTTTGGAGACGAATTAAATATTCGTATATATTTTTATGTAATTTAACCATATAGTATTTTACTAAGTATGCCAAAAAAATTTATAAGTGGGCACCTAATTAGTCGTCTAAAATTTGATAGGAGCCAAAATTTTATTGGCCACCAAAAGAAATGCAGCTTGGCGCCTATTATTTTCTTAGGCGGCAAAGAATAAGTGTTTTTATTAATAATGTATTTTGTTTATATTAAAATAAAAAAGTGCTTATCAGTGCAATTTGGATTTATCTTCTTTTCTAGTTTGTGTAGTGTAGAGTCCACTGCCGAAACAAAGTACACTTTCATCAAAATCAAAAGTTTGTGTTGGCAGCAAATTAAATTTTTAGACTTCAATTTTCCGCCAAAAAAACCCCTTATATTAGGGTTTACGGACTTGCAGGCAGCAGCTTTACACAGTTACACTTATTTATTGAAATCCTTCGCCCCCTTTCTCCGAATCAGGTAAGTCTTTACTTTATATAGTTTTCAGCCGCTTCGCTTGATCTCTCTATCGCTAATTCGTGGGTTGTTCTCCACTATATTTATTCTAGCACATCTACCACGCCATTGATTGCGCCTCTGATGATTGATTCTTGTTGCCGTGATCAAATATGGGTCTACTGCTAGCAGATAACTGACTCTGCCGAATCCTCCTTCACCTGGTAAGATTGTTTCTCCCTCTATATGTACGATTTCATTTTCAAGGTTTGTTGTCTGGTAATGGAGGATGCTCTGCTTTAATTGCTTTTCCATGTTTCTTCAATCGGAAATTAGAAGTCAGCTTGTGGATTGATTCCCAATCTTAGCACACCAATAAGCGTTATTTTTTGTAGGGATGGCTGGCGCATTGAGAAAAAGAGCCAAACTCAGATCAAGTCGTCCATCCAACACGGAAGAAATCGAAAACATAGCACATGTTTCAGCAACGGAAGAGGATTCCAGAATCATTTTATGACCAATATACACTTTATTTTATGCAAATGTTGATGATATCTTGTCTCATAAAATTATGTAGGGGATTATTTATTTTCTACAAGTGGATGTATTCTCCTGCCCAATTATAGTGTATATGGGATGTCTCATTGTATCCATAAATAATATTTTTGGGATGACTAAATGTCTTCATAAACGATTATTATTATACATCTTGTTGTCTCCAAAAATCTACATCAAGAACATATTGTTGTTTCCAAAATAGTTCGTAGGTGACGAATAGTTGTCTCGATACATAGTTCACAAGAGACAATTGGTTGTCTCGAGAAACACCCATAAATGATGACTTGTTGTCTCTGTAATTAGTTCTTTGGGAATGACTAAATGTCTCGAAACAGTGTATTAGGGACGACTAAGTGTCTTTTAAGATAGTTATTAGCGATGCTTAATGTCTCAAAAACACTTCATAGTGGATGACTTGTTGTCTCCAAAAATACGTCATAGGGAACTAATTATTGTCTCGTAATACAATTTATAGGAGACAACTTCTTGACTCACAAAATACTGTATAGGGGACGACATATTGTCCTAAATTCTTAGAAATAGGACGACAAATTAATTTGAATTTTGGAGTTTTTGGAGACGACTATGTGTCTCTGACATTGAGGACGACTTTCAATTTTCGTCTCCAAAAGAATAGAGGACGGAACCTATAGGCACCATTCGCGGGGACAACGTTTGTCGTCTCCAAAAGATTTGGAGACGAAAAACCCATGTTTTGGAGACAAAAATTTCCGTCCCCTAAACCTGCCAATTTTGTAGTGTGATATGTGACAAGAACTTGTTGCCCAGTCCCTGTAGTAGTCAACAAACTCAAAAGTCACAAAGCCAGTCGACTCAAATTTCAGAGAACCATCAAATGAAGAAACCAACTAGCTATTCTCTGTTGGAAATCCCACCAAAAATTCAGGGAGAAAGTCTACCTCGAAGATGAGTACGATTTCCAGCGGTACTGGTTAGACCGGGCGGGTTCGTTCGAAAATTTGACTCGGGACTACGACGACGTATTGGAGGGGAAGAACGGCGGCGTTTTGAGGCGGAGGCACGCCGAGGGAGTGAGCGAGTTCTACGGCGAGATGCTGGCAGAGCGGATCAAGGAGTGGGATCGTAGCAAGAGGAGGTCGCTAATCACGCATTTTACAGGGTGCGAGCCGTGCTCCGGCGAGCACAATCCGATGTACAGCTAGGAGGATTGTTATGAAGGGATGGTGAAGGCTCTGAATTTCGCTGATAATCAGGTGCTGTGGAATTACGGGTTCGTTCGTCGGGATTTGATGGATTCTTCTCGAGTTTCTCCTCTGCCCTGAATTGGGTAGTTATGACTTGACTTGTGTTATTTGTAATGGTTATTCTTGATGGAAATTTAAGTAAATTCCGACAACTATGGTACGGTCTACATCGAATTCTAACGGTGGATCTTATTTGCTATTCATGGTAGGTGATATTCTTTTACAGTGACGAATGACGATACGAAAAGTTAATGATATGGTTTGGATCAACTGAACGAGGAATGAAATTGCCTTGTTGTTATGTTATCTGTGATGCGATGAGTCTATTATCTGTTAAAGCATTCTAATAGGTAACTAGTTTAATCGTGGTTATGGATCTATAAAGGAGTGAGAACGGCAAATAAATAATTGTAAGTAGGCAGCTTTTAACTTTGCATCTTCTCTTTAGGAGGCAGCTTTAATCTTGATTAACATTTTGTCTAAATTCTAATGTTGGCAGTTGGCAGCATCTTTTCTTTTGTGGGAATCATAACCTGAACTCATTTCTAGCTCCATGGTTTATCTTCCCAGTCCCACTATTTCGGGCCGATGGCTGCAGGCCCATGAGAAGATGTTGTATTCTGGAAACGGGCCTTAATCAATTGGGCATGTTTTAGGAAGTTCTCATTGGGCTGGTATGTGGGCAGAACTTAAAGCCCAGCTACTGAACCATCTTGAGATATCAAACTGCTACTTAAAGGATTGATAAGAAAACCACAAAAATTAGAGCGCTCGACTTCGTTTTATGATTGTGTATTAACAGTTTCTTTGTAACTTTGGTTACCTCTTACTCAGAGTTTCTTCATTTAGGGGTTAACCACTGTTATCAATAGTTTGATACTAAACGTTCTAATATAAAAAATAAGAATATGGTTCATCAAGAGAACAAATTTTGAAAAAAATACATCAATTCCAGAAAATAATATTCTTAATTCAAACAAATCAATTCAATTATTATCGTAAATAAAGAATGAAAATACAAGATCGAAGAGTGTTAGTACAAAGAACAAATTATGATTGGTTAATTCCCGCGCCTCCGCGATATAAAACAATAAAACCACATTACATCTTATGTATACATAAGACTTAAGAGGGAAACCCACGAAACCAAAACAAATCTTGTTACCTAACGAATGATCAATCAAGCCCCCCCAATTTGTTCAACCTGACCGATCGAACCCCATAAAACAAATGCAAGAACAAACAAACCTTAGCTTGTTATTAGTCATCATTCATCAGAATTCAGAACACATAGAGATCCGCAAGCTCCTCTAGAGAATCCAAGCTAAGGCTGCTGGGATCCCCATTCTCCAGCATCCAAAGCAAGTGATCGAACAGAACCACCTCACACTTCACCACAGCCGTCCGATCTTTATCATGATCATGATCATGATCACGACCATCATGACTACCACTACCAGCAGACTTGTCGGTGAGGGCATTCACCACGGGGTGGCTCAAGTACTTGGAGCCGATCACGTACCGCTTCCTCGTGCTCCCGACAAACACCATCCTTCGATCATCGTCGTCTTCGAGACGATGATGATGGTCCAGATAGTGATGAGCAGTGCTGTGAGACCTCCACAGGTGGTCGTTGGCCCGTTGGGTTGCAGTTGGATTATTTGATCTCAAGCTGCTGTAGGATGAGGACCGGCCGAGTTGTTTGGACAGGCTCTTGCATTTCCTTAGGAGCATGTTGATGTTCTTCATCAATCCTGATCTTGGTTTTGGAGGGAGAATCAGAGAAGGATTCTGAAGAGAGAGGGGGAAGGAAGGAAAGATGGGTAGAGAGACTTGCCAAACACTCACCAAAGAAATTCATAGAGCTAGCTAGTTGGCAAAGAGAGAGGGAGAAAGGTGGTGGTGGGTGTAATGTCGTTGTTTTTTTTTTTATCATAACATGCGCATAGATTTAATAAACAATGGAGGTTGTTACATCATCAAGTTTAAGCTGATCAAGCAAATAAATCGGTGGCCGGTCAAACCAGACCTCTGCCACCCCCATCTAGTCTCCGCGTATGCCGTGATATGAGCCGCCCCATTTGTTTCACGATAAACGTGACGCACTGATCCTGAAGCTTTCTCCCCCAATAGACTTCTAATATTACGACAAACCACACCCAGCTCCGTCAGATTCGCATCGGACCCGCGATTGCATTGACCACGATTAGACTATCCAGTTCCAAGGCAGGACGCCCAAGACGATGTTGGTGGACAAGTTGTAAACCAAATTCGGTAGCCAAGGCCTCACCCATCTCCGGCGCCGCAACCCCTCTGATCTTCTTTGCCGCTGCTAAAATAAATTGCTCATTGTGATCTCAAATAACAACGCCCAGTTCTGTGTCATTTCCAAAGTAACCAACATTAATGTTGACTTTAATCCTCCCTTCCTCCGGTCGGACCCAACGTCGCACGCCCTGGGGGGGTTGCCCAGCTTCATTTTTCAATTGTTGCAGCCGATACTCATCGAGGATAGCCCTTGCTCGCGGGATGATCTCTCCCTCCACCATCTTTTCGCCGTTGAAGTACTGGGCATTGCGCTCCTTCCACAACATCCATAGTACCATGGCCCAGTCCGCAAACACCTCATCTTCCACACTCTCCCCCACCTTAGCAACCCAATCCATGCACTCACGTCCGCCCCTAAGCATAAATCAATTACTTACATGAGAGACCCTCCAAAGTCTGTCAAAAGTCCATAATCCACAATTCTCCTCAAAACTCTGGACATCTCCATATGAGTCCCATGTGCAGAATATTGGAGAAAAGCTCAACTACCCAACTACCTACATTATTGGAACTAAAATAATAGAAATAAACTCAAGCCACAAACTAAACCTACCACCAATGTATTTGCTACGTGTGTAGGTGGTGGAAAGCCTTGGCATGGCAATATAAATAGAAAGCCTCATTGAGGCATGTAAGGTAGAGTGAGCTAGAGAGCATAGGCTCCTCTCAAGGGTTAAGGCAACAAACTTGCCTTATCCGTTATGGGAAAATGTGGGCAGTGTTTGTGAGGGTAGAAGTAGAACAATCAAGAGCAGCAGCTCTAATGTAAAAGGCAACAATTGCCTAGTTGTATGAGATATTAGAGTGAAAGAATTTCCTCTATTTTCGATCCATCTCACCATATTTCCGTTGTGCCCCAACAAATTTGGTATCAGAGCCGATACTACTTTCCCATCCTTCCAAACCAGCCTCATATATCCCAAAAAAAAATCCAAAAATCATGGCAGCAGTCCAGACGAACACAATGTTCGTAAATATCCCCATTCAGATCCCGATCTTCGAAGGTGAATTCTACAAGTACCGGAGTGAAGGAATGAAGACAATCTTCAGTGCTCAAGACTTGCGGGATCTCTTCCAAGAAGCTTATGAGGAGGTCATGACGAAGCAAGACTCTGGCAAAATGGCAGAAGCAGAGGATGAACTACCAAGCAGGTTCAAGACCGTAGAGGAAAATCCGACGGTAACAACTCATACTGCATTATATGTCAAAAGACGGGACTTGCAACAAAATTTTGCATGTTCAAATGCAGGAATAGCAGGAATCTAAATCACTCCCAAAGGGATTGTTGGTTCAAGCAGAAACAAGAAGATGATCAAGAAGCAAAATTCACTCAAAGTGAAGAAATCAAGCATACATCATGACGAAGTCGGTCACTTGAGAAAAATTCAAGAAGTTCAAGGAGCAACTACGAATTGCGGATTAAGAGGGGGTGTCAAAAGTCCATAATCCACAATTCTCCTCAAAACTCCAGACATCTCCATATGAGTCCCATGTGCAGAATATTGGAGAAAAGCTCAACTACCCAACTACCTACATTATTGGAACTAAAATAATAGAAATAAACTCAAGCCACAAACTAAACCTACCACCAATGTATTTGCTACGTGTATAGGTGGTGGAAAGCCTTGTCATGGAAATATAAATAGAAAGCCTCATTGAGGCATGTAAGGTAGAGTGAGCTAGGGAGCATAGGCTCCTCTCAAGGGTTAAGGCAACAAACTTGCCTAATCCGTTATGGGAAAATGTGGGCAGTGTTTGTGAGGGTAGAAGTAGAACAATCAAGAGCAGCAGCTCTAATGTAAAAGGCAACAATTGCCTAGTTGTGTGAGATATTAGAGTGAAAGAATTTCCTCTATTTTCGATCCATCTCACCATATTTCCGCTGTGCCCCAACAAAGTCTACTCGTCCATGCACAGTCGAAGAAGAGGCGAGTCTGAGTTTCTTTTAGATTGCAAAATAGGCAAGCATCGCCCCGCCTCGTACTTCGTACACTGACATGGTCGCCCGTAGCTAGGGAATCTCGCGCAAACCGCCACATAAAAATTCGGACTTTTGGAGGCACTTCCATCGACCAAATCCTGTTCCACATAGATGCATCTCCCACTGCTACCAATCCCTTCTCTTCCCGAAAATCAGCTAGCCATTTTCTATACCCCTCCCGAGCCGTGTAGTTACCATCCTTGCTTTTCGCCCATATCAGCCGGTCACTGTCGCCCAATGCTCGGATCGGGATCTGTCTAATCGACTCCACCACATCCATTGGAAAACAACTCTCTATTATCGTCTCATCCCACTTCTCCAAGTCTTCATCAATCAAGTCCCGGACCAATGCATCAACTGGTAACCCCATAGGGGCAGACTGAATGATATATCCCGGAGCCTTCGGAACCCATCGATCGCCCCAAACTCGCAAAGACGTATCGTTTCCAATCATCCACCTTAGCCCCGCCACCAGAAACTCCTGAGCACTCATAAGGCTCCTCCACACATATCTTGGCCGATGACCTAGCTTAGCGTCAAGGATTGAGTCGCGCTTATTATACTTTGCTCGGAGCAAACATGCAATCAAGGAAGAGGGTCGTTGGTAGAGGTTCCAAAGCTGGCGCGCAAGAAGGGAGGTGTTAAAAC